CCCAATTTTAATGAAAAACAATAATCAAAGTTTACTTTACCTTCAGTTTAAATCTCAATGGCAAATCAGCAGGAGAGAGTCTGTAGATAGACACAAAGTTGTCGTACAACTGAAACAAAAAAGTCATACATTATATAATTTTTCTAATCATATTAAGCCCATCTGTGGCCAACTGAATAAAAATCACCGAACAACGTAAATTCACGCCAATCAAAAACAACTGGCAATTTTCAGGAATTTATTCACGTGACTAACTTTTCTATTCAGTAGTTATATCCACTTGGCACAGGTGGCCTACAACACAGCATTAAAGACAATTGAAGTATTTTATGTTATATAATTTCAAACTTACCAATGACGTAAAATGTGATAATGCCCAACAGCCCGAAAGTACTACTAATAGAATGAAAGGAGATCCAATAAGAAAATAAATCTTTAGATCTGGAACTACTTTTACAAATATGGTAACGTATAAGACGATACAGCATATATGCATAAAGAAGGCATACATTAATGGCAGAAGAACTTTGAAATTCTCATTAAATTCTTTTAGAACTTGCCAAATTTCGACTTGCTTTTCGAAAAATCTTTGTAATTTATACTTTATCGACAAATCATTTATCTTTATTTCTTCGAGTTCTTCGGATAATTTGATAAATCTATTGGAGAAAACTATACCAGAACCTGCACACGCGATAACTGTTGTTCCAATTTGTCCAAATAAGTAAAAATCTGCAAATTGAAAGTACATAGTGCATACGAATCCTTCTGTCATGCTTCTACCTTGTCTTCTGAATTCGCCCATCATTACCACACCTGTGACAATGGTGAAACCTACAAAAGTTATGAATACCACGAAAATGGCGCAAAATAGATAAATTTCGATTCGTTGTAACAACTGATATTCTTGCTTGTAGCTGCTCTTCATAATATGAAGAGATATTTTCTTTCTTTTCAGAATACTACACTGTACTGCTACGTAAGATGAGAGTATAACCAATATCACATTCCATAGAAATGTAAACTCTTTGAAAAATAAAAAAACTCGCATACAGTAAATGTCGATATTGGGCAAACTAATAATGTAACTCAGACACAGAAACCACAAGAACGCTTCGACGAGATCACAATATAGTTTAAAAATTTTTTCGGGAATAACAGCTCTATCTTCTGCCACGCATTGACACGGAACTACCATATCCACTCCAAATACTTTGAGGATATTGCAAAATGGGCGAAGAAGAAATCCAAGACATCTATATCGGTGATCAGTAGAATACATACTTGAAAATACAGAAAAATTCAATTTTAAATATATATTAAAAGATGTAGGTACTGTACTTCTAAATACCAAAGTTCGTACGAATGTAGGTACGTAAAGTAATTAGAATATTTAGTATTAAAATGTGGAATTATCAACCGGGTGGATAAGTCTTCTGACTATTGCCAGTTGGTCAAGCGTTCGCACCTGACCAACGGTGCGCTCTTTATTTCTAAGAATTTTCACATGTCTGACGTCAAATTAAATGCCACTTTCTAATAGAAATCCCTAAAAAAGCCATCGTTTGTTGCCAGATTGTCAATGTGTTGTGTAGGTTTATCCCATCATATCACTCTATACAAACTGAAATTATATAAACAAGACAACTGAGTACAGAATGAAGTTGAGTGCTTTCGTAACACAACGTATTAATTTAAGTGGAAGATCTGACGTCAATATTGAAAATGATACCTGGTTGTTTATGCACTATAATTTTTGATATTGTTCCATTGGTAAACATTTCACGATTTATATAATATATTTTAAACGAATTATGTGGCATTGGAATGCACATTTCGAATATCGCATTGGAATTTTCGCGTTGGAATGCACATTTGAAATATCTTATTAGAAAATATTTTTCAATGCGATACCAGACAATAATAACTGATTAAGTTATAGAAATACGTAATAAAACTTATTCTATAATATGATTCTATTTGTTTATTATACGAGGGTAATTTGTTTTCAGCCTCCACAGATCCAGAATGAAAAACAAAACCACTTTATTTGTAGAAGCTAGTTACAGTCTTTATCGTATTTTCACAGATAATTGCTTTGTCGATTCAGGCAGACATCATTTTCTGACACCAGCTTTTGTATAACCACGTTGAAGAATTTTGACGCCAAGCCATTTATCGAATCTTTAATACTGTCAATCAACGGTATACAGTGTGGACCTTGAAATTTGAGAAAACTCCTCACTGAGGTCAAAAATCGTAACCCAACGCTTATCTGTCACGAATTGATCCACTTTGTCCACCAAAAAGTCGGTTATTACGCACTTTTTCCATTGACTGTACTGTACATATAAAATATAACCGGACACGTTACAATAGGATAAAATAATGCTATTGAAACTAAACAGTATCATTATTGATTAATTTGATATATATGTATAATTCACTGAATAATCTAAGAGGGGCGATATGCAAATAGGTTCTTCTATAGAGGATTTTGTATTCTGTATGTAAAATTGCCCTTTATTGAGGCTTTACTGTTGCGAGTGTTCTCGAAAAACTGGGTGGTCAGACATAAATTCGCATCAAACTATCAGTGTTTAATTTTTCTTATTCGAGCAAAGTAAAGGTGAAGCAAATGAGTTTCTTTATTATTAACACTAATTTCTCCACTTACAGTAGAGCGACGTTTATCCTAAACGTCGGTTATCCGAAAGAATTCCAGTCAACCTAAAGTATAATTTTTATTTGTTTTTATATTTTTCAATGTATTTATTTCGTTTGTAAAACATAAAGAAATCATTTTTAACGATACAATAGCCACGATTATTATTTTAAAAAGTTTACGTTAGGCTTAACATCGACGAAAATTCAACTCAAAGCGACACGAATAAATGTATAATAAATTTTCTTTCATTTAAATAAAAAAACTAAAGTAAATTTAAAATGCGGGAGTCGGACTTTTTTCGGACTTAAATTTAAATTGCGGGAGTTGACACATTTTTTCGAACTCTGACTTCTCTTGCTAGAAATTTCTCCAGACTCTGATTCCACAGCCCTGGTTGAAACAAATGATTGTCAAATGAATATGAGAAAATTATTGCTTTTTTCACTTCAGACATTGCAGTTACCATATTTTGATTAATTGTATAATTCTTTACAAATTATATCATAAGGATATATAATCTGAAGAAAAGTATTAATGTTACAATATTGTGAAGAGAATATTAATATCACACATTTTTCTGAAAACTTTCGTGGTTGCAACAATATTGAATTATGAGTAATGTATTAGATTCTGTTCCACAGAAATTGGCAATTTTTATATTACTCTAAACATGCAATGTTTTATATTTATCTAATACTATCCTACATCTTTGTCAAGAGAATTGATCTTATTAGTTATCCAAGTAAAAAGTTAACAATTTCAGATTGAAAAAATGTAATTCAGATGTCTTTTGTACTTTTGTTAAGTATAAAGCTAATATTTATATAATTAAACTTGTGTTTTTGCTCAAGAAATGAATTACTATGCTTATTTTAATATAATCTTTAATCATTTCTTTATTAATAATGAAATTATAATTTTTAATTAGAAGAAATTAATATATTTGTATTTATTTGTATAGGAAGATCACTTTAATTTATTGACTGATATTTTGTGAAAAAAGAAGTTTCAAAGTTTTCATTATCATTAATGATAGGTAAGAATTTTTAAAGTATTTATATTTTATATGTTAAATTTATGTTTTATTTAATTAAAAAATTTATTCAGTAAAATTTGGACTGTGGAGGTGGTATACCAGGCTCTATACTCCAACTCAGAATTTCACAAGATTAACTTTGACTCCAACTCTTGCATCTAAATAATAATAATTTAAAACATACTTTGAGTATATTAACCCAGAATGGTATTTCATCACTACCAAGTAAATCATCAGGCATTTCTATTTTTTAAACTTTTAGTGCCCATAAGGTAGAAAGAGGGACTTTTTATCAAGCCTGTTATGGGATTGACCAGGCTTGCAGTAGGATGGTTGGGTGGTGAGGGACAGAGCCTGCCATATCTTGATGGACTACCTATGAAAAAATTTCCTGGGGTTTATTTTACTCATCCAAATTTTGATTTTGGGTCACAAAAGCAGCAGGCTGACACTATAACAGCTTCTCCATTCAGCCATGACATTACTATTGAACCCACTGAAAGTTTTCATTTTTTTTTCATACTGTTTTTCATTATCACCATGATGATGATCATCATAAACAACACATTGACACACACCTTGTTTTCTATCTGTGATAAAGTATTTGAAAAATAGTGATTCTGTCTTTTCTGAGTTTTCTTAACTATTTTGTATGGGTCTTTTGACAATAAAAATTTAGAATTAGCTGACAGACAGAATATACTCAAATATAAATTTCTAAAAACAAAATCATCATTAATTAATAATATGCAAACCAAGATCACGGTGTAGGAGAATCCTCATAAAAGGTCTTTCATTACAGGAGACTTCTATAATGTAGGATAGGATGTTATTAGGAGCTTTAATCTGAACCAATAAAGTACAAATAAACATATAAAGTACATAATAAAAAAGTAGGAATTGGAGTCTGTTCATTTTTATCAACTTCAGCTTTACAATGTAAGAAGAAACAAATTTTCTTCTGAGTCCAACTTCACAGCTCTGAGTAAAACTTAAGATTTAATAATAAAATAATAAACTGTATTTAAAAATTGTTATTAATTGGTTCACAGAGATATACTGTGTGACTGTTATTGTCATCAAGTAATATCAAGTAGAACTAAATGAAAACTGTATTATTTTGCAAAAAAATATGTTTGAATTTGAAAAATTGAATTTGAATGGTAGCATATCTAAGATAAACAAAAGTCAAATGGTTAACTGAGGTTATAATATTCTGGTACCAAATATAAATACAGTAGAGCGTCGTTTATCCGAAAGTCGGTTATCCAAAAGAATTCCAGTCGGACTAAAGTATAATTTTTATTTGTTTTTATATTTTTCAATGTATTTATTTCATTTGTAAAACATAAAGAAATCATTTTTAACGATACAATAGCCACGATTATTATTTTAAAAAGTTTACGTTAGGCTTAACATCGACGAAAATTCAACTCAAAGCGACACGCAACAGAGAAAAATTTTAACACAGGATAGGTTAATATATTTTTTCGTACATAATCGGTTATCCAAAAAATAAGTTATCCGAACAACCCCGGTCCCCAATTGATCCGGATAAACGATGCTCTACTGTATAAAATTAAATGTTATTGGTACACTGGTGACTTGATAAAATATACTTTTATAGAATGCAGATTAACATACAATGAGGAAAGCCTGTGAATTCTTAATATATCATCCAGCTTCATCAGATTCTGCTGCTTTTATTTTATCGTTTTGGTGAGTTCTGAGTTAAATTGGCAGTTAACAGCATAGTTCAAAATAAGTAAGCTCAATTTGCAATAGTTTGTTGACTGAGCCTACATTTTGTATTTGGCGCTATATAAACATAAACTTTTGTTTTGTCGATATGGAAAAGGTTAGACAAAAAAAATGAGCAGTAACAGATGATTTCTGACTAGAGTGATTTGATAATTAGTGGCTACTGTGTGATGTAGGTTGTTCTTAGGTATGGCAGAAAGAATTCCTTTTTACATTGTGACCTTAGTTACAATGCAGTCAAATTTTTTAGATTCCAAGGACTACATTATAGCAAATCATCAGTGTAATTTTAATGCTAATTTTTAATAGTTTTGGAATCAATTACTTTTCACTTTAAAACACTTAATGAAAAATAGTAAACTCAATTAAAGTTTCACTTTAAAGTTGAAATTTTAATTGAGTTTACTTAAAATTTAGAGAGTAAATTGTAAGTTTTATCCTGATGATGTAAAATTATATTTAAAAGATTTTAACTGAGTGTAACTTATTAAGTTGGTTTTATTTTGCTTAAACATTATAATAAAATTTATGGAATATATCATAAAAATGAATATTTTACATAAAAAAATATTTTTAAAAATTAATAAATGTATAATANTACAACAAAGAATCTCGCAAATTGCATCAGACATCGCATTAATCACTTGGAGGTCCGGCCCCCAGTCAGTAAACTTAATCCTAATTTGGCCCTTCTTCAGAAAAGGTTGTGCATCCCTGTTTTATATTTGAATATTAAGCATATTTGGGGGTTATATTCCCTTTCCTAATCCAAAAGTTATTACACTCCTCAAAAGTGAAATTGCAACACCATGAAGGAATGTAATGTGCATGTAGCTACATGCACATTGTAGAACTGATAGACATATGCAAATGATTAAAAACACAAAGATTTGCAACAGACACCTGTTTATTCAGTAATGAATATGACTACAGGCAGATATACAGCAACAGCAAGGCACATTATCAATAAGGTGATTAATGGTTGCCTAAGGTATCCCTTGCTAAGCTACATCTACTGTAGCACACATGTTGTTTATGCTATGTGATGGTGGTTCCTGGTGCATCTCACATTGGACGAGGTCCCACAGCTGTTTGATGGGAGTGAGATCTGGTGAAGGTGGTGCCTGGGAAGGATATGAATTCCGTTCAGGCTGGTGAGAGTTTGCCGTGTGACATGTAGTTGGGCATTGTCTTGCTGGAACAGGTGTCGGGTGTGGCCTGCACCAGTAGTTGAAGTGACAGTGGACCTGTATGTCCCACAATTTGTGTGATATAATGGTCCACTGTCATCGGAATGTGCACCGGGGCTGTCTGTTGATCGAACATGATGCTCGGTGTTGGTGTGATGTTCAGCAAAAAGGACTTGCGCATAGTGTTCCCTGGGATATCACCACACTTGTCCTTGGCTGTCATTCCTCCACAAACAGAAGTTGGATTCATCCATAGACAATAGCCAGTGCCATTCAGTGGTCTAGTTGCAATGACAATGACACCATGCCAGGCATGCAGCCCTGTGTTGAACAGTTAATGGCACCCTGTTGTGGGTTGCCATATGTGCATTTCAACTATAAAGGCTGCCAGCTTATAATGGGAGGGTCACATGTCCCTACCAGTATGTAGAGATGTTTCAGCCCTGGTTTACAGTATACTTCCGTGTGGATTGTAGTTTGCTCGAACTTGATGTGGATATCGAGGAAATGGGCCTCGGAATCATGAGCCTGGTCTATCTCAAGGGTCAATCCATAGGGGTTGTTGTTGAATGAACTGACAAATGCTGTCAACATCAACATCAAGTTCGAGTGAACTACAATCCACACGGAAATATACTGTAAACAGGGTCGGAACATCTCTACATATTGGTAGAGTCATGTGACTCTTCCATTGTAAGCTGGCAGCCTTTTAATGCCTTAATTAGGAGGGCCCATATGCACTCATCACAGATAGCTCTCTGGGCCGAGCTAAGGCATATTGAGCATATAGTGCATTTCAACTTTATGCAACCTGTTGCAAATGGTTTCACTGGACACATGCATTGATAGACCTATTGATGGCAACAGGTGGCTTTGGATGTCACATGCTGTAGTGAACCTGTTGGTCTGTGTGCTCTGTCATGCACCAGTAAAACCCACTCCCTTTTCAGCTTGTTTGCAGACATTCCTGCATCCATCATGTTGCACATCACTGGATGGTACTCACGTGACTAATATGCGTGGCATCTGTGTGCATCGACAAACCAAGGTTGTGCAGCTCCAGGATACAGTCTTATTTCCCTGCCATTAACTGGTGATATTCAGCTTGCTGTCATCTCTGAGGCATTTTCTAAAGCTCCAAAAGTTTGCTGCAGCAAACCATTGCTGATAGCATTGACAGCCTGAGCAGACTGCTGGTCTTTATAGCTTGAAATGGTACCACATGATCCGATACATATATAAACTTAATCATTTGCATATCTCCGTCTTCTCTAGGTGGCCTGCAATTTGCATGTGGCAACGTGCATTCCTTCGTGGTGATTTCACTTTTGAGGAGTATAGAATCTACTGTTGGCAACCCTCACAAAATTCAAAAATTAAGCTCTGACAATTTGCTTATGGAAAATGTATCAGTAAAGCCATTACAGAAATTCCTGACCATAAAAATTTTAAGAGATATTACAATTTCTATTTCTCCTTATGCCACCCTCAACTTTTCTTATGGAGTAATATCAAAAAACAATTTCTTTCCAAGCCAGAAGCTTCAGTTCTTGATGGATTGTATAGTGATAATCTGTCATATTAACATTCATGGAGACAGGCAACAGCTTGCCAAAAAGAACATCATTTTGACAATTAATACTTCAGATTACAGTCGACCCCCCCCCATAACACGGTAGATACGTTTTGTTCTTTATGAAATTGATGTTCTAAGAGTCCTTGAATACATGAGCCAATCACAGCCCAGCACGTATGTCGTTTACGGACTACAGCTGTTTTAAAGGTTTACTTCCATAAAATTAATCGATTCTAGACTAATTTGACTCAACATTTCCAAAATACGTATAATTTTTTGGAAATAATCCATATAAACTATGCTATAAACAAAAAATTGTAGGATTACTTACCGAGCATGCACCGTTCAATGACGCCATTGCTTAAGCTTGTCATCATTCCTAATAAATTATTTTTTTTGTGAAAAATTTGCTGAACTTTGAAGACATCATTAATATAAATATAATTTTTATGGACGTTAAATAATAAATGGTTTTTAGAAGGTCCGCTGCTTGTTTAAACCCAATGGTTTGTACAATATCAGCTATTGGTCTAGATTCGATCAATCCTGTCGCGACATGAGTTGGCGATGACATTTTACTGAATTATATGAGTTTTTTTTAGCATGTTTGTACGAATACGGGCGCAATTTTTTCGCCGTCATACAGGAATCTGAACTATATGAACCCATTTTATAGGGTGTCTACAGTACTTTCTTTTGTGATTACCAGATTTATCCTTATATACTGAATCCACTATACTATTACCAATGCCAGAGGTTTGGCATTCAAAGATATCTTGCTGTGGCAATAGTCTTTGTGCCAGATGTGTTCTTCCGGGCCAGGAAAATACCATAACCCTTGCTGCATGAACTACAAGGGTTCTCTGCCTCATTCCTCTTATGCATGTGCTTGCCTTTTGTGGAAGCACGATAAACAAATACAGGAAGTAAAATTTCAAGAAACATTATTTTTCTGAGGTCAGAAAGATTGTAGTGTTTCCAATATGATGTCAACAGACTTCCTATGCCAATGAAGTGACTAAACCTGTAAAGTCTATTGGTGTGCAGACATATTTTGGCTCCTGATGCAACATGAGAGATGCCTGATATCTTAAATTGATTTATAGTCAAAACAGAAAATGCTGTTCAAATCATCCAGCAATAGTAAAAAAATACTCCCAACCCTCATACAGACAGCCACAAAAGGTAATGGTCCAAAATCTCAGAGCAAGCAAGTGGTCTCCATGGATACAATAAAATCAGACACTCTTGAGTGAATTTGCATACTACAATGATGCTGGAGAGGATATGGATGTAGTCTCTCCAGTCTTGCTTCCATGTCAGAGCAAAGTGAAACTAAGAAGAGTTGCAGCAAATGCATTTAGCATTTGCTGCAACTCTTTGCTGCAACATACCCACCATCTTAATGACCCAAAGAATCATTTGGCGGAACTGTCATGCTTGTGTTAATCTTCCTGAATTGCAAAGCTGTTGGTCTCACATATTAATTTTGTTTTAACTGTCTTGTGACATACATTTTATGCTTTATTTTATATGTAAACACTTATTGTTTTTATTCTTGTTGATTGATTTTATGCAGGTTTTTTTTGTTCTTGTATCATTGTTATACTATTATGTTGACATAGTTTTCTTATTTTAGCTCATTATGAAGGATCATTTTATTATATATGTTAGTATACTTGTTATTTTTATCATTTTACCATGCCAATGCATTACATATTGCTATTTTATATTAGCTGCTCTCTTTACAAGTAATATTTACTTTT